AGAGTAGTCTGGACCGGTGCTAAGGACTGTATAAGGATATTACAGTCGGAGGTCAAGGACCTAGAGATCGGGATAGGGAGGTGTGAGTGGGTTGCACTCCGTTGTGTCGAACCGAAGGGTTCGAGGGTGACGCAAGGACAAGGTCCTTAGTTCCAAGTATGGTTGTAGGCTTGAGTTATGTATGTGGAGGTATTCCAATCTGGGGTATTCCATCATGAGGATTCGTTCCAGGTTGCAAGTTATCAGGGTTATCGCCAATTTTGGGCGAAGGAAGATGGATTAGTTTCTTAGCAGAGCTCAGTGGGTGTTTGTGGAATCTAGCGTTGCAGGGGGCGGAAGCGTGTCCCTGATATGAAGGGTTAGTATTATCGGGTGATTCGTGGTGCTATTGAGTTGAAAGGCCGATAATCGGCTTGTAGTAGTGGCAAGGATGCCACGTGAGAATAAGCCATTTTAAGAGAAATGCAGAAGTAGGGTTTGTAAGAGTATGAGTTGATTGAGAAGTCGGAGTCTGCAGTGCAAGGGGTTCGTTCTGAGGCGTATACTGCAGTAGGCTTCGAGGACGAAGCCTAATTTAAGAGGGGGAGAGTTGTAACACCCCCAATTTCAATTGTTCAATGAAGGGCCAAAAGTGTAAGTTTAGGAAAGGGACTCGACGAATAGGTCCGCTTACTCGCCGAGTCGGAGCGGGAATCTGTCGCGGGTTAAGTGGCCAACTCGCCGAGTCGGCAGCTTGGACTCGACGAGTTGGTGCTGAAGAGAGAAAACCCTAATTCCGGGGGTTGTGCCCTATATAAAGCACATTATAACCCACCCTCAGCCTCTTTGCTACCCTTTTGAGATCCATAAACCCTAATTTTCGTGTGAGACTCCATTGTGAAGAGATTGGAGCTTGGAAGATGAATTTGGTGGAAGGAGCTTGAGAAATTAGAGGCTAGCATCAAGGGGCTTGTGTAGATCTGGAATCTACATCAGTTTGGGCACATCTCAGAGGTAAGGAGCCATTATCTTAAGCTATTTCCTTTTTGGTTCATCCTTGGTGGTTGATTTGGAGTTCCTTAGCTTGTTTGAGATCTATTTCGGGTTTGGAGTTTAGATCTGAGGTTTGCTACTCCAGATCTAGACTTGTGATGGCCTAGAATGTCATAAAGCTCCTGTCTAAGAGTTGTTGGTGAAGCCCCCTAGTCCTTAACCCTAGCCCTAATATGTTTTGGGCCTATATCTCCTTGGTTTCACGTAAAGTTTGCAACTTTATGTGAGGGTTAGACTGTAGAAGAGTGGATCTATGGATTGGAGCCCCTGCATGGCTCGAAAAGCCACTGTATGGATTGAGAACTGGAGAGACTCGGCGAGTTACATGGGTGTACTCGACGAGTTGTATGAACATGTGCATGGACTCGACGAGTTGGAAGAACAACTCGACGAGTCTGTTGAAGATTGCCTTGGACTCGACGAGTCTGTTCTTGGACTCGACGAGTTTGGTCGCGGAACCCTAACCTCTTCTGGTTAAGCCTCGAATCGGTGAGTCGAGGGACGACTCTGTGAGTTAAGCAGGATGGGACTCGGAGATCGTTGGACTCGACGAGTCTTGGGCGACTCGGCGAGTTGAGTCGTGTTATGGGAGTTTCTGAGTATAGGAACTCGACAAGTCGACGGGTCGACTCGGCGAGTAGAATCAACCAGGAAGGTTGACTTTGACTGAGGACTTTGACTTTGACCAAGAGTTGACCAGTTTGACTTCCAAGGGTGTTTTGGTAATTTTGGTATTTATGGAATTGGTTCTTTGGTAGTGTTCTGTGGTGAAGTTCGTGTCGGTGGTCGGAGCAGCTTGGTCTTATCCTTCAGTCGGCAATTGCAGGTGAGTTATCCTCACTATATCGACAGGGTCTACGACACCAAGGCCGACCCTTTATCGGATGGAAGTCTGGGTATTGTTGTTATGTTATTGCTTTGCTAGATTTGCATCCTGGTATTTAGGGTGGTGTTATGTTAGTGACCTGGTTAAGGTCGGTACCCGGTATATAGGGTAATGTTATGCTAGTGACCGGTTAGGTCGGAATCCTGGCTAGGATGTTGATATGCTGTGTGATCTGTTAAACTGTTTGTCTGGTTAAGGATCTGTTATGTGATTAGTTGTTTTATGTGCACATGGTTGTTTGACGGGGGTTGGGTTGAGGCGGGTCCTGCTTCGTGCTGTAGGCCAACATACCCGGGGCGGACCGGATATTCCGAAGGCCCAGCGAGCGGTCCAGATAGGCTGAAGGCCCCAAGAGGGCAGACCAGACGTGCCGAGGCTCGGAGAGTGGACCAGGCCGACTGAAGGCTCGGTGTGGGCGGACCAGTCATACTGTAGACTCAGAGAGTGGACCAGGTGGATTGAAGGCCCGGTGCGGGCGGACCAATCACACTGTAGACTCGATGTACATGGCTAGACTCGGAGGGTGGACCAGGTGGACTGAAGGCCCGGTGCGGGCGGACTAGTCACACAGCAGACCCGATGTACATGGCTGTTCTATTTGTGATATGTGATGAGAATGTTTATGTGCGGTTGGTATTCTGGGGGTAACTCACTAAGCTTTCGGGCTTATAGTTTCAGTGTATTGTTTCGGGTACTTCAGGAGATCGTGGCAAGGCGAAGGCGTGATCGTACCGCTCCTCATGTTTTATGATTTATGTGATATGGTTCTAGGGGACACTGTGATGTTTAAACTATTTTGAAAACGAGATGTATAAACTTAATGGTTTTTGAATGAATTAAAATGTTTTAATTTGGTTGAAATTTTTGGTCGTTACAAGTTGGTATCAAAGCCTTGGTTTGAGTGAATTGGAGGAACATTCGTGTGAATCCAGTCTCAAATCAAGGAGGGATTTTCAAAATGGTTTTCAAAAGGTTTTCGAAATAAGTAAAGGAGGATGCAGAGGGTACGATCAGCCAGAGCCAGTAAGTTGACCCCAAAATACCATATAAGTTATTTTGATTACGTGATATGTTAGAACAGCATGCTAGTAATAGGCTAGGGATCTTCAGGAATTGCAAGATAGAATTGCATAATTTATGATGCCTGCTAGCTTAGGGTTCCTTGTTATGGGATATTCAGTATTCCTCTAGGGGTGAGGATGGAGTGCTTGTTATGTATGTTTGTGCTTAGGGCGTTATGGTGATACTTGAGACAAATATGGGTAGGTGTGGAAGGTAGTATGGGCCCGTACTACTGAAAGCACAGGACCCATACGCGTATCAAGGAAGTCACAACTCTCTAGGGTATCGGTTATGAGATAGTTCCCCGGGTGGATATGTGATGTGTCTAAGATCTTGGCCACGTCGTGACCAATTAAGGACTAAACAGTCGAGCATCTAAGCACCTCCACGTCGTGGCAAGCCCCTGGTCACGTCATGGTTTCTAGAAGCAAGCCAAAATCTTCATTAAGAGCTTAACTCTTACAAATCTAAGCCCATAACTTCAGATCTAGTCATTTTAATGACTTAATGGATAAAGTTTCCAATTTTATCCATTAGGACTCCACCACAAGCCAAGATCTATAATTATATGTCCACTAAATCCTTAATGAGGCTATAACTTGAGCATGGACATAAGGAACTCCAAACATGACTCTTGGTCTTATTCATCAGAAGTTTATTGACCTTAGAACGTCATCTCAAGCTATGGAGTTCTTCAAACTACAAGAGCATCCAAGGAAGGGACCAAAATCAAGCAAAATGAACTTATACTTGCATCAAGAAGAACAAAAGTCAATATGAGAGCTGTATAGCTCCAACAACTCACAAATCTGAAGGAGATGATGGATCTAAGTTGATTCCTTGCTTCCTTGCACCAAAATGATTTTCCTCTTTCCTCAAGCTCCACCAAAATCCAAGAATAAGGTCTTTAACCAAGCTCTTAATCATCCACGGAGGCTAGGGTTTCGTGGTGAAGGGTTGGAGGTCGAAGATGATGCTCTAATCCTTGATATTAGATGTTTAAATATGGATGAAACCCTAAATATTATGGGCTTGGACTGCAACCGCTGTCACGTCGTGACGACCATCCGAATAAGCGTTTCTTGCATTTGGCATGCCACGTCGTGGTCATCCATTCACCACGTTGTGACACAATGTTTTTCCCCAAAACCCCACTTTTAATCTCTCAAGCCTTCAACCGATCTATCCTGGAAAACAGGTGTTATAAAAAACATTATAAAATATTATAAAAAAAGGAATTAAAAGGCAACATAATATTTTCAAGTTTTTCACTGGTTTTTAACCAATTTGTATAAAGAATTCTTAAAAAATAGTGTATTATCTTGAACTTTAACTTGATTTTTAGGGAATAAGAATTAAGAACCAATTTAACTTAAAAAATAATTAAACATTCTTGTAGATATTAAGGTTAAGGAATGATTTAAGTGGTTGAATTTGAAAAATATATAAAAATATATTCTTGTAAGAAAGTGACATTTTGTAAGAATAAAAGAATAAGATATGAATTAAAAGCTCATAAATAACATTCTAATAAGATATGAATTGCAAATGCATTATTTACATTTTTGAAGAATAATATAACATTATTGAAAAAACAACAAAAACAAGAAAAAACTATCTTATCTTATAACTAATCAAATAAAAAAGATTGGACCTTGGAGACAAACATTTCACATGTTATCTCCTTAAGTTGAAAATTAGTTCATATTTTATATTTTTAATCAATTTATATTTAATTATTTTTAATAATATATATTTATCTATATTTTAATATAAAATTCTATTTATGCACAATGTGCCGCCATTTGTTTAGTGTGTCTAGATATATTAACTGTAAATAAATTTAAAAATACTAGAAAACTATTTAAAATAGTTTTTGAAATAATTTTTTTATTTAAAATAAAAGATTTAAATTTTCACTAAATGTGTACTTTCAAACAATACTTTTTAAAAAAAGAAATCCAAGATTTTTACATAAAATCACTTGAAACTCGTTACAGGTTACACAAATAAAAGCTTTCACAAACCGTCAAATCTATTCATCGCTTTCACTACGATCCGGATATGCTTTTCTCCTGATAACATTCCCGTATCTTGTAGAATTACAGACGCAATCGCAAAAATCGACATTATGCCCGTTGCAATTCATAAATCCATCTCCGGCGAATCAAATTAGGGTTCCGATGTCGCTTAAGTTGTGATTGTCTATGCGGATGGAGTCTCTGCATCAAAGAGTAGAATCATGGATCAGAGACCAAAGAACGAAGCTCTTGAAGGTCACTTGGCCACAACAATGGCCTGTTGCTATGAAATGGCCTTGGATCAAAGGGAGAGAACACAGGAAACGAATGCAAGAAGAGTATAAGCGTCGGAAGACGCAACTTCACAATCTTTGTATCGCCCTCAAGGCCGATTCGCTTTCGGATTTGCAGGATATACTTTGCTGTATGGTGCTTTCTGAGTGTGTTTACAAGGTGTGTATGTTGCTCTACGTTTCCGAGTGTGCTTTTGTGATTTTTGAGTTAATCAATTTCTTTGAGCGTTTGTGCATTTTACTTTTGCAATTGGTATGCTCAAATCCCATTTCCCTCTTTTCATCCTTTTTGCTGCCTTTGGTTGATACTGGAATCATTGTGAATTCTTGAAATTGATGACAGAGGGATACTAATGTACCATAATAATACTTACTATTGTCATTACAGAGACCTGATGCTGAACTGGTTCAAGCTGTGAATAAATTTAAAGCGGACTTTGATGGTCAAGTTGTTTCTTTGGAGCGCATCCAGCCATCTTCAGATCATGTCCCTCACAGGTGGGTTATTATTAGAAGTATTTCATTGTTGTGATACCACCTATAAAAATCTTATGTGTGGGCATGTCTGTACAGGTATCTTCTAGCAGAAACAGGAGACACATTATTTGCTTCCTTCATTGGAACCAAGCAATACAAGTACGTGGTAAACTGTTAACATAACATTATGTTGCTCTTATGACTCTTATTTCTAGAGAAACAGTTTTCTTATTGTTTTGGAGTAATTAATAGGGATATGATGGCTGATGCGAATATACTTCAAGGTGCCATATTCCATGATGATGTTTTAGAAGATACTGAAGAAATTATAACAAAAAACTCTCCTCAAGTTGACAGCCAAAAGAAACTCTTTGATGATACTCCAAAGACCCTTGGAGCAAAGCCTCAAGGAGTAACTTCAACTAAACCTGCTGCTCATCGGGTAAAGTAAAGTAGCTATCTTTTTATCATTCAGACATAATTTCAATCAATCACCCAGTAGCATGGAAATGTGAGAATGAATGTACTTTTAGTTTTAGATAACATTTTGAATCATTCTTTAGGGCTTCATGTCACGTGCCAAAGGGATACCTGCTTTGGAGTTATACAAGCTGGCTCAGAAAAAGAAACGAAAACTTGTTCTCTGTGGACATTCACTTGGTGGAGCAGTAAGTTTGGATTGTCCTTGGTCTTTCTTCTTCAAATATTAAAATTTAAAATTTTTACTTTTTTTTTTTCCCTTAGGTTGCTGTTTTATCTACCCTTGCTATCTTGAGGGTGATTGCAGCTGCTTCTTCATCAAAAGAACATGAAAAAGTTCATGTAAAATGTATCACATTTTCCCAGCCTCCTGTTGGCAATGCTGCTTTAAGAGAGTAGGTCTTATTGTCTTAATGTATTATGGTTTCTTAATGTTGGTGTATGTGGTATGTCATATAACTACTGACATACAATTATACAAACAATCTTTTGTTTCAGTTATGTTAATGAGAAAGGGTGGCAGCAATACTTCAAGACTTACTGCATTCCAGAGGATCTTGTCCCCCGTATATTGTCCCCTGCATACTTCCATCACTACAATGCACACTCCTATGTACCTCCAGTTGACATTGTATCAGAGAGACAAAAGGCAAAAGTTAAGGAGGATGAAAAAGAGCAGTTGGTGTTGGGTTTGGGACCTGTACATAACTCTTTCTGGAGACTTTCCAAGCTTGTACCTATAGATGCTGTGAGAAGACAACTTAATAAATACACTGGCAATACATTTGGTTCTTCTGTGAATCCTACCACTGATTCCAACTTAACATCTTCAATCCAAGACACTGAAGATGCTCCACAGTCTCTTGAGATTGAAGAGGATTCTGATGGCATTTCCCTCAAACCATATCCCACCACAGATAAAGGGGATCCATATGAAACTATAAAAGATAAATCATCTAATAAACGTAAGGCATGGCATAGGGTACCTGCTTTGCCTTCATATGTCCCATTTGGACAGGTAAATTCTACATATTATATGCAAAAACAGTCGAGAAACTTATTATATATTATTTTATCTAATGGAGCTTGTCTGTTTTTCATAGCTTTATCTTTTGGGTAATTCGTCTGTGGAGTCTTTATCCGGTGCAGAGTACTCAAAGTTGACATCGGTAAGATTTATATTCTGTTATTCGTATAGATTAACATTTGGTACTATGTTAAAAATCCCTTTTCTTGAATTTCTCATTTTGTTTGCTTTGTTTTGGCAAAGACATATTCAGGTTAAGTCCATAATTGCTGAACTAAGGGAAAGACTTCAGTCTCATTCCATGAAATCATATAGGTCAAGATTCCAAAGGTACCCCTATCTTATCTTTCAAACTGTTGTTGGACACAAAAACCAACATATGGTTTATGGTTACAATCTTTCCTTCATTTTTTTTATAGAATCTACAACGATTGCATGAGAGATAGCTCTTCATCCTTCTTGGGAATGGATCAACAACAACAATTTCCTCAATTACAAAAATGGCTTGGTATTTCACTTGCTAACACTGTTGAGCTTGGACACATTGTGGAGTCTCCTATTATATGCACTGCCACCTCTATTGTCCCCCTTGGATGGAATGGTGTTCCTGGTGAAAAGAACATTGAGCCTATTAAAGTAGACATTACTGGTGTTGATTTGCACCTATGTACCCTAGTTCAAGCCCGTGTCAATGGGAACTGGTATTATTCTTTTCCAATTCTTTTCACATTTTAATTTTGTAAGTCTACTGTTATTTCATCTTTCCAATAATGTAATATTATCAACATACAGGTGTGCAACAAGTGTTGAAGCTTTCCCTTCTGGGCCGAATAATAATCATTCGGATGATGGAGTCATGTCAGGGATGCAAAAGATTAGGGTTTTAGTTGGGAGACCTTTGAAACGACCTCCAAAGCATCAAATAACCACAGATTCATTAATTTCAGCTTTTCCTTCTATGGATTTAAACCCTGTTGATCAATTGGGGAAATTTATGTGCCCTGAAGGTCTAAGTGACTTTGTTGTATTTTGTACAACCGATTTCTCTACCATCTCCAAAGAGGTTCATGTTCGCACCCGTAGGGTCCGCTTGGTTGGCCTTGAGGTATTTATGTCCAAAGTTTTAATCTCATCTTTTAGCGTGAATTGCAGAAATGGTCCCTGTGCTTTTTTATCTTTACCATGTTTAGTCCAAAACTGAGACCTTGTTCACTTTTGGTCCTTATTTTAAGTTCTATATCAATTTTGGTTCTCCAACTTTGTGATTTTGGTTCTAAGGACCAAAATTGATATGAAACATTGAAATAAGGGCCAAAAATGCAAAGGGTTTCAATTTTTTCACTAAACAAGGTAAAATCAAAAGGCATAGGGACCGATTCTGTAATTTACTCCATCGTTTATCATTTTCTGTAACAAGGCTTGAGTGGTGGGTTGTGTAGGGTGCTGGCAAAACATCACTTTTAAAGGCAATATTAGATCAAGGAAGGGCAAATATGTCAACCAATGTTGAAAATTTTCCCATGGATGTTGATGTTCAAGAAGGCTTTGCAGGTGGTTTATGCTTTACAGACTCTGCAGGGGTAGATTTACAGGTGCTTACTTTTTTTTTAATAACAGAATTGGAATTCAAGATTCCATTCCATGGACAATTTTCAATTCTGTCATATTCTTTCAAATTTTATGTTTGATGGGGAATGGATTTTACCATTCCAAGGACTCTGTGGTCTGTGCAAAAGACATAAACACCCTCCTCCTTATCATGGAAAAGGAAAACAGTCCTTGTTTGATATTTTTTACATATGATACAGGATCTGAACAAGGAAGCAGCTCGTTTCAAAAAGGAATTATGGATGGGGATTCGTGACATGAACACAAAAACCGATTTAATCATATTAGTCCACAATCTGTCACATAAAATCCCATGGTATACACTACAATCAAACACATCAACACGCCAACCATCCCTCTCATTTCTATTAGATGAAGCCAAAGCACTTGGAATCCCATGGGTCCTTGCAATTACAAATAAATTTTCTGTAAGTGCTCACCAACAAAAGCCAGCAGTTGAAGCTGTTCTTGAGGCGTATCAAGCAACTCCAACCACAACTGAAGTCATTAATTCATGTCCATATGTTATGCCAAGTCCTGCAACTGAAGAAATTATAGATCCTGATGTGAAATTGGGTCCTCATAAGTTGATTGCGGGCCCCATTAATTTAGTTAGACGCTCGTTTCAGAAGAGAAGTATGATTCTTCCTGTAGAGGGTGTCAGTGCCCTTTGTCAGCTTGTACATCGTGTCCTTCGTAACCATGAGGAGGTTGCTTTGGAGGTAACTTTTAGCATATCATATAGCAATGTAGTGTCTCTGATTTGTTTATTATATTTTTACTTGAAAACTCAGATTCTGTTATTAAAATGTGGTTTTTTTTTTTTTGGAAGGAACTTGCAAAAGAGAGGCTTATGGTGGAATTATCGAAAGGGAGAGAATCGGGAGCTGATGGGAGTCGAGAGGCGATGGCGATGGCAAAGGCAAACTCATTGACAGCTGCAGCAGTTGGTGCTTCTGTTGGGGCGGGTGTTGGCCTTGTCATGGCCATTGTTATGGGGGCAGCTTCTGCATTGAGGAAACCTTAATAGATCCATTGTTATTGGTGCTTTCTATTTAGTTTATGATTAGATTTTTGGTGGTGGATGAATCATGAATCATAAGTTGTAGATTGTATTTGTGTGGGAGTTAGGTGGGAGAGTTATGAAAATACATTTATTTATTTTATTTCTAGTTCATTATTATGTCCAAGCTTATTAAATGTTTTAAGCTATTATCCAACCATATATGCCAGATTTGCATGAAATGAGATGCAATGAAATGTATCATTAAGGAGAGATAAATGGTGTTTATATGTGATTTAGGAATACAACATCTTGTTTGCCTTAAATTCATACAAAAGAAACAAAATCCAAATAGAAATTATAATGTTGGCTCATCACTACAAAAACAGGGCTTCACTTGACACTCAAAAACTCACCGAGAACAACAGGAAGAACGGCTGGTGGAGCCATTGATGAGGCTGACACGGTTAGAAGACAATTCAGCCTTGTAGGAATCTGAATTCAGAACCTTCCTTCTGCCATTGTTGTAGATAGCACGGATTACAATCTGAAAAGCCTCTTTCACGTTTGTAGAATCAAGCGCAGATGTCTCAATGAAGAATAGTCCTTCCTCTTCTGCAAGTCTTTTACCTTCTTCAACACTCACGTCCCTAATATTCTCCAAATCACTCTTGTTCCCTACCAACATTCTTGCTGTCGTTGTATCACAGTGAGCTGTAACATTTAACATTCAACATTCAAAGTTACCTCAAATACCCGAAAAACCAGTTCATTATAGATAGTTTGATCAGTATGCAGGATGTTCAGGTCAGGCAGTCTCTAATTGAGTAGATAAGTTTTCATTTAGTTTCATTCAATCACGGATATGTTAAATCGGTTTGCAATTTTCATGAAAAGTCATGGAGATTTAATTAAACCCTAATAATTGTATTTGAATGAACGCCGATGAAACAGTTCAGCTGAGTATTCGGCGCCATTGAAATTGACTAAAATTTTGAACAGATTAGCAAACAGAAATGAAGTGAAAACATACTGTTGAGTTCATCAAGCCACCGCTTAATACTTTCAAAAGTAGTACGACGACTGATGTCATAAACAATAAGTGCACCGACGGCGCCGCGATAGTAGGCGGAGGTGACGGCGCGGAAGCGCTCTTGACCGGCGGTGTCCCAGACTTGGGCTTTGATTTCCTTGCCGTCGATATCCACCACTTGCGTCTGAAATTCCACACCGATTGTGGCCTTGGAGTGCAGATCAAACTCGTCTCTCGCGAACCGCGACAATAAGTTGGATTTGCCGACTGCAGAGTCACCTATGACCACTATCTTGAAAAGGTACTCTTCTCCACCTACACCTTCCTCCATTTTTTTTGCCTGAATTCTTGAGAGAGGTGTTGTGACTTGTGAGTTATGACAATGGCGTTGACGATGGTGGACTTTTATCCGTTATAGTTGGTCTTGGGGGAGTGAAGTAGTAGAGAAAAATGCGTGATTTACGGATTTTTTACGAGATATTTTTTTAGATTTATATAATAATCGTGAGGTCAAGATTAATCCGGTCATTTTTTTTGGCTTCGGACTTTATCCCGTGATAGAAAGAGTTTGGTCTGAAACGGTCATTTTACAAAACGCAAAAAACATAACGAGATAACTAACTTAAAACAATAAAATAAAAAAAACCTAGATCATACTTCAAAAATATTGTCATCTCACTTTTTATTTTTATTGACTTCTATTAAATTAGATCTTCGATGCTTCAACTTTTTTATGACATTTTTTCAATTCAACTATTTTATCATAATCTATCTAAAATGTTATATAAGACCTTTTCGTTTCACTAATCGTTTTTTAAACACATTATATTTTAATATAAACATTCATTCACGTATAAACGATTTACGTATTTCTATAATTTATATTTATATATTATATATTTGTTTATCTATAAATTTTAGATAAATATCAAATAAATAAAAGTACATCAAATGGATAAAATGAAATATTATTAAAGAGAAAGGGTTGATTGTTCAAACCTTTAAATTATATTGACCACTCAATATATTCTTACTGATTAATAAAAATGAGCAAAAAAGTCATGCACTCTAATGGCCTGGTTATTTTGCCACTTAACCAAATAGTAATAAGCTATAAAAAAACTCATTGGAGATGCTATAAATTTGTTGAAATTGTTCCAAAAAAGAAAGAAAAAACCTAATATGACTCTCTATAGTAGGTTTTGTTGGATCCCAACGTCTTCTCTGACTAAACATGAATTTTCCGGTTACCTTCTTCGGCGAAACATGAATTTTCCAGCTTTCTATGTTCTTGAAGGTGGAAGCTTAGATTTCTCTTTTCTCTCCTCTTTCTTTTTAGAACCAAGAATTCAAGAACTCAAGATTTAAAACTCAGATGGAAGCAGATATGAAAAACAGTTTTTGTGTCTTTGTTCTCTTTTTCCTGTCACATCATCTCTTTCTTTTCTTTTCAGAACTCAAGAACTCAAGATTTATCCCCATAACTCTATATCTAAAAACCAATTAAAGAAACATATAGTTCATCAAAATAAACACCAAGAACACTAACTGTTCATCATGTTCATTAGAAAAACACACACACACACACAAAGAATGTCTAATTTCATTGTTCTGATGCGATTCGAGATCCAAATTCTTTGTCCATTAGAATCGACATGCGATTCCTAGGATTTTAGGAACATGTTCATCCCTTCAAACGATTATGATTTCAAAAACACGAGTCATCCCCTTCAAACGATTACAATTTAAACGATTTATAAGGTTTATGGGTTTTCAAGAACATGTTAAAAAAACCCTTCAATTTCAAGGTGGGTATTCTAGATAGCCGGAAAATTCAAAGTTGGCTAGAGAGATGACCGAAAAATTCAAAGATGGCTGGAAAACACATGTTTGGAGGAAAAGACATCGAAAACCAACCACGGTCATATTGATATTTTCTGAAGAATTTCAAAAAAGTCAACGGTGGATCAAACACAAAAATAAATTTAGCGACTAACTAATGTGTAAAAAAATATAAATTGATTACCCTTACACCTCGTTATCCCTTTATTAAATTATTGGTTTTAGTATGAACAAGTTTATGTCATTATCTGCTCTTTCTCCACTCACTTTAGAAAATATTTTTTCATTATAAATTAAACAAATTTTAAATTTAACTTAACTACATACAAGTTGGCAGTTGCTATCAATTTCACTTTACGTATGGTTAATTTAAATATCTATAATTATATTTTTTTAAAGTTTGGTGGGTTTTTTTTCATTGTATATTAAATATTAATTTTATATAAAAACGCACACGTTAGGCATTTTTACGATTCCAAACCTAAAGTTATTTTTTTTTCTAAAGAAAACCTATAACCTTCCTAACCCTTTCTATTTTGAACATTTAATAGGTTTGAAGTAAAACTTTGGTAACACAAAGTTTTTTTCAAAACCTTCACATTCACGAGAGTTTTTTCGAATAACTAAAGGGTTCAAAAAACATTTTTCTTAACGGTGTATGAATAACTCAGAAAAGTATATGAGAAAATAATCCTCTTAAGGGGATTGACTCAACCTTATTACTGACCTATGAAATGTAATGGTTTCGAAAGCGAAATTTGAAATTTTATTTCCAAAGGGTTTAAGTGGCATAACCATCTATTTGGGTAGGATCGGAGAGACTTGTGTTGTCTGTACACTTTGTGGCCTTGTGGGTTGGGATACCAATACCTTTCGAATTGATATGTTGATCCATTTTACAAGTCATTGTTTGTGTTGTGATTGGTATTCTAGAAGGTCATTCACGGAGGGAAAGGATTCGAAATCCCTTTCTATGGTCTTGTGTGTGATTGCTACATGTTATCAAAACCTTTGTTTGTTCAAAATCTCTAAATTAGTTTTTGGTGTGCTATTCTTTAGGTTGCTTTCTTCTCCCTTAGGTTTACCTTGGAATATGCCTTAAGACGAGGGTGTTGTTATTATGAGATTAGTTGTCTTGGGGTTGGGCGTTGATGATAGGCTAGGTTCTTTAATTGGTTATCCGGGTCTTGCTTGTAGCTCATACGTCTGATAGGTGTGCATCGTGGTTGAATTCCGACTATAAAACATGAGCAACATCAAGAAAGAAGATCATAATACTTGTCCCAATGACTGTGCCCCGGGAGCAAGCTCCGATAATCAAGTTAGATCGTTATGTGAAGCGGACCAAAGTGTTTGATTAAAAATAAGGAAAAGAAGGAAAATGGCAACGAGTTTGATTAAAAATAAATATAACAACATTGATCCAAAGTGTTTAATAATTAAAGCATAACTTTAAACTTGTTAAATAACAACATATCATGAATGCTTTAGGATTTAAAGATATGTTAGGATTTTCACGATATGTAGCATGGCTAGGAGAATCAATAAATAGGGAGTTTGGTTTAAAAATATATAGAACAATATTGACCAGACATGTTAAACAATCAAATAATAACTTCAAAAAACCATCTCGTAAAACATTCGCAATAGGTATCTATGAACAGAAATGAAAAATACTATATGAAGATGATATGCATAACAACTTGATATGATATGATGACTATCATTTTCCGTTCTGCATAACAATTTTTTTACAAGTATAAAGTATTTACCAATACAAAACATTTTTCTTAAATTGTGCATCTCATACTCATACTCATAGGTTAGTGTTTCGATTTTGATTGCTACGGCAAAATTTCATCTATTTGTTCTTCTGCTATTGACGATCAACCTTCTGAAATGGCAACCTTCATGTAAGATCTGCTCTTTCTAATCATATCTGCTGATGCTTGATGATTATTTACCAATTACATAAACAACAATCACGAATTTCACCATTTTTTTTATGGATTAGTATGTTCGGGATCATAAATTTTGGACTTGGTCTTCGATTTTCAAAATGAAGCCCCGTCAATATCACCACCAGCAACGTTGAAACACTAATCACGTTGAGAGTTGAGACTCCAGATTTGATTTTAATTTTTTTTTTAAAATGGAATGAATTCTGATAGGGTTAATTTGGATGATTTTGGGAAAAAGTTGTAGGGTTAGGTGTACAATAATACATACATTCGATGCTCCGTCAACATCAACATCAGCAGCAGTAGAGTCTGTAGCTATAAAACCAACAAAAACTGATTTTCAATTAAGCTTTTTTACTACTACGACCTACAACACCCGTCAATCAGATCATCCCCACTCACTTATCATGTCTCCTTGCTTTTATAAAAACTAAAATTAAGAACATTGAAGCGACGTTTTTCGGCTCAAATCTTTCCAACTCGTCGTTTACGTGATGGATTTTTGTTTACAACATCTTTTCTTTTCTTACGTTAAGTCTAATCTTCTTATTATGTAGTGCTCTGCTCTGTTGACTATTGTGTTCACCGTTGCATTTATGTCATTTCTTTTATCTCAAATACCAATCACGTTATCACGGAACCTGAAGTTGTAATAATTAAACAATTTTGTTTAAAAGTTCAACAAAATCAAATTATTTAATTAACAATCAAGCTAGTAAGAGTTAAATACATGTACAAAAGATATAATAAATTGTAGGAATGAATATACAAATCTTACCTGTTGATCTATACACCCAAAGCTTACTTTATCTCATCGGAATCATTCTGTCTCCACAATTTTACACCATCGATGGTTGATCCACTAGAACATAAGAGTTCTTAATGGTAGACTTCAAACCTTGTACAAGATGTCTCAGTACAATAGGATCAAACTCACTTACAATGGCAATCTAGTTTCTCCCATTCAACAAGATATACATTTTGATGCATTTAAGTGGATGTAAATTGTACGAGGATGAAGAAGATTTTTGATCTTGCATAATATTCATTGAAGTATATTGAAATGTGAGAGCAAATTGGCAAAATTTTGTCAAGTGTTGACTACCAAAATAAAATAGTCAAATTCTATATGATGGTTGCCATTTACATACCACAACTAACTAGTTTTTTTAAGTTGTCATGTTATGATAATTTAAAAATATATTATAATTGATTTTCAAAAAAAAAAAAAAACAAAAAAAAACTACTTAAATTAGTTTTTCAGAATTATTTTTTAAAAGTTCCTACATACATCTATAATTAATTATAAAAAAACGTATCATTCTAAATGTTTTTATGTCATTTTAATACTAGTTTATCAACTAGTTTTTATCAAATATATTTTTTTATTGGCTAATATTTCATAGTTAACAACTAGTATGCCAAACATATATATATATATATATATATATATATATATATATATATATATATATATATATATATATATATATATATATATAAAGTTTACCATCCAAATTTTGACTAATAAAAGAGCCTGCTAAACTATAAAAAATAAAGCATTCAAACTATAAAATTATATGAGGTGTTTTTGTAAAATATTTAAGATACACAAAGATAAACTAGTTTTTTTTTTTTTTTTTGAAA